ATGGAATATGACAACATTTAACAAAAATATATAAAGTATTGTTCGGTGCCGTCGCAATAAATTGATTTAAAACGACTATAAAAATATGCACTGAACACGTATTCTATTCTGAAAAATTTTTTAACTATCTATCACAAATTTGTCCGAAAAATACTAAAGTGCGATAAATAGTGCACACTAAAATATTTTCGGGAAGTGCAAGTACGATACACTCGGAAAAAGCTTCAATTAAGTTTCAGTTTTTTGGAACATATTTTAACTTAATGCAATTCGCACAAGGGGTTAGTTATATGTATGATTGTAGCGAGATTTTAACGATAAAGAAACATAACGTAACAAAGAGAAAACGAAAAAATAACATGACGTGACAAAAAAGAAATCAAAATGATCTGAATAAAATATGCTAATTTTTCACAAAAAATATGCTAGAATTTTTCGCTTGTAAAAAAATAGTTTCAAACTGCGATTTACAAGATGAATTTGTTAAAAACCGGAAAATCTGTAAAGTGAAAGTATGCAGGGGACTTTTGGTAAAACACCCAAGGGGAAATTGAATTGGGCTACATAATAGGTTTTTTATATAGAATAAATATAATTTTATTTGTACAACTAAATAAAAATAAAATAGCTTCTTAAAAACAAAACAACCAAATACAAGTTTCTATGTGAACACATTATATAAAATCAAAAAAATATTTTTAATGTATTAACAGGACCAAATTTGAAGAATTTCCAAGATATCGTCATTGATTATTTCAGCTTCCACGATAAATTAAACCAAATTACAATTTTTATATTTCTTTAAAGAACATTTGTTACAGGATTTACAATACGTTCTTATTATTAAAAAGCGGTTAATGATAAGAAGTTTACATTTCGTTTTGTACCTCAGTTTTGACTTTCTAATGAATATTAAAAACTTGTATTTTTCATAAATTTGTATTTTTCCACAAAAAAATTGCACTGTGGAATAAAACATTCCACTTTGAAAAATTGTTCCCATAATTGTAAACATCTGGATATTTTTGTATTAAATGTTAGAAAATTGAGAGTTTTTGAAATCTGTCGGGTCAATCTTTTGCTTATTTTCATTAAAATGGTATCTTTGTTTTTTATTTAATATATTTTTTATTATTTTTAATTTATTTACCGAAACTATTAAAATTCAAATCGATTGCGTTGTTTATAATCATATTCTTTAAAACATTTATTTAGGATTTTCAAAAAAGTATTTAATAAGCTTTTAAAATAATTCTTAAAACAATAAAGAAATTCAACAAGAACAACAAATTATCAAAATTAAATTATTAAATCTTTAGAAAATATTTTAACATATTTTTTATTATGAATATTTATTTGCAAATTTCAAAAATTGTAAATGCAAAAAAAAAAAAATGTTTTTTTGAACAAAGATTTTTATAAGGAAATTTTAAAAAATAAACAACGTATAATATGTACATATGTATGTGTAAAGCTATTTATCACATTGACATTATTCGAAAATGTAACGAAAGCTTACATACAATCAGGCACAGTCCTCCTTTATTCGGCGCCCCAAGCGGTTTCTGAAAAATGCGTCCGCCTTTCCATTGTTCCACCTCTTTTAATACTGTGAACAAAATGTAATAAGCATTGCAAATTGTGCAACATAAATCACTTTCTTGTAACCTTATCTGGCTGAATACAGGATTAATTATAGAATTAAAGCTTGAAACTAGACTTTTTGGTTTATAAATTCAACAACAAGGTATTAACTATAGTTTATGTAGTTATTATCACATTAATTTTAATAATTTAAACTTGATTTTTTGGTTTTAACAACCAAAAATTTACTTTTTGGCGTAAGTAAAACTAAATTGTAAACTTTTTGAAAGTACTTAATGCTTTTTTAAAGTACTTAATAAATATACTCAAATGATTGTACATTGCGAAATTTTATATTTTTAAAAAAATTACAAACATTCGAAATTTTAAATATACTTACAAATAAAATTTTGCATTTCATTTCACAAATCGTCCGAGAAATGAAAAAAAAAGTTTCGACTTGCATTTAAAAATTTAGGAGAAATTAAAGTTTCGGTCCAAAAATTGTGGCTTCAAAACTAAGCTTTTTATGTATATTTTTATTTGCTTTAATATTTTTCATTATATTTTTTAATATTTTATTACAATAAATGTATTTACTGGTATTTATAGATTTGCATACATACATGAACTTATGATAAACTGTGGTTTTGAATTTTAAAAATGTTGCTCAGACTGTTTTAGTTTTTGAGATAAATATATGAAATAAATTCTGCACCATTTCATTTTGGATTTATTTTTTGGATGATATACAACACATCAATCAAACGTAAAATTCTTAACATTCACTTCATTATTAAACAACATTTTTTCACTTCAATATAAAAGTAGATATTACCAATTTATTTTTAAATCTGTATTGATAAAAGTAGTAGAAATTCATAATAATCATGTAATTTTAAAATTCATTCAAAATTTTTTGTTATTAAACAAAAAGAAAGATAATGGTAATTGGTAAACATCTCAATATCAAACTATGAATTCCATTATTTGAGAATATTGTTCTCGTTGTCTTTTGCTATTTTCTTTCTATTCTCATTCCACGTTTTTTTTTTGTTTTTTACTAATGCAATACAGAAAATTGATACATTATAATAATGTATACAGAAAAATTGATACATTATAAAGATGTGTTTGTTTGTTTGACAAGGCGACGCCAACTCAAAATAAAATTTTATCAGCAAAAATAAAATTTTGTATATATGTATGTATATGAAACAATTTAAATATAATATCTGACATTGCTCTAAAAACTTAAAAACTTTTGAAGAGCATTTTACTCGTTTCGTCATAAAATACATATGTCTAACAGAAAGTGGATATAAAATTATTACAATTAATTAAGTTATTAAAATTGTTAAAAACTCTCATCAACATAATATAAATCGTGTAAGAGATGCAGTATTAAAGCGAAATATAACGCGTCGCTTATGTTGATATATTCTTCCTAAAACTTATTTGTAAGAATTGCAAAAATCAGTTTTGTAACATTTCTTGGGTGAATATAATAGTATAAATTTTTTTTTGGAATTAAAAAATCTTAAAAAGTGCAATTTTTTCCATAAAGGTGTCAAAACGGGAACAATGGTACGAACGAGTGTTGAAAGAGCACAAACTCAGCATAATAAAAATCTTTTGTGATATAATTATGTGCACGAACTACGAGCAAGTGTTGGTAGGGAGCAATCTCAGCAAAATAAAAATCTTGCTTTATGAGATAATTACATGTGTACGCACGAGTGTTGATCTTATATACTCGTATATTAGACAATATAAAATATCTGTACAGGTGTATTTTCTAATTTTTTTATCTTTTGCGTATCGTGCTTCTATGTACACTAAGTATATGAAACGATTTCACTTGTGTATTATGTATATTTAAAAATATACAGCTGTATGAAATAATAACCTGTATGTAAATTCTGTATGAAATAATAGTATGTGTGTTTACGAATTTATTCTAACATAGTACTCGTATGTATAAAAAGTAATTCGTATTATAAATAAAATGAAAGAGTTGTGTAGAGTAACAAAATGTTTGAATAATTTTAATTTTATGAACATTTTTTGTTATATGGTGCGAAAGAAAAATAAATATAGATCAATGCTTAATATTTTGAGAAACTGACTTTTTTTACATCCACATTTTTTATGTTATTAGGACTCAAATATTATGTTTGTATATTGACACATTTTATCAAGATAATTTCGCTGTAAATTGATAAAATGAGAAATTATAGGAAAACTATATAAGGAAAACTTAAATTTTTTTTTTAAATTTAGGGTTTGTTTAAGTTTTCAGTGGCGCCCCCGTTTTTTATCGCCCATTGCAAATACATACTTTGCATATATGAGCCATCCGTCCCTATGTATGATACAATACATCGATTTAAAAAGCTTTTCGTTTTTGTAAAACTTTATAGACGGTATTTAAGCTGTATTAAAACTTTTTATACTGCGTTTTGGAAGTCACGGTAAATAAAACCAAACGATATAAAAAAGCGAAAACAAAGTCCGATGCATTATTCTATAAGAATTATGATACCATTCATTCAAATGTTCCGCAGATGAATTGATTAGTGAACGTAAACTTAGTGTCTACATAAATAGAACATTTGCATATCGTACAACGACAATCACACGTTCATCTACATGTATTATAATCTCCATTTTATTTTTATTTTTGGGTGTACAGAACTCTTCTAAAGTATGATATATAAACATGTTACTAACAGAGAAAAGATGTATAATAGGATGATTTAAATGTATTCCGGCGGAGCTTTATACTAAACATAATATATATGTATAATGTTTATGAATAGTATCTCATAGTAGTATTCATGAACATTATACAAGTGCTAAAACAAAAGGATAAAGCGTAAAGATATGCTAGATTTTTATATTTTGTGATTTCAAATTCTAGAACATATGGATATACATAAATATTTATATTTTGCGAGTTAATAGGAACCTGATTTAATTTTAAATTTTCATTCCTATTACTGAATTACTCATACGTCTACTTAATAGTATTTTGCGTACTGCACTAATATTAATTCAATGGAAATTTTTTCATACAACTGAGTTAGGGCAGAAAAATTAAAAAAATTTTCTTTTCGAACTGAACTCGAACGAGTGACAGAGATACTAAAAAATGTATTTTTCCAATTTAAAGCGTATGATGTGAAATTTTTATAGTAAATATTTTTTTACAAGAAACAAAGAATATTTTCATAATATTAAAATGTCGTTCTTTCTTACAGGTTTGTTTTTCAATACTGCTAGAAAATAAAGTACAACTTAAACTTTCAGGGGCTTGTCACAATGGTAGCTTTTTAATGTAAATTTTAAACATATAAAAACCGAAAGTCGAAAATTGCGACAACACTTTATGTTATTATTATATATAACTCAACTGCATTCCGTGAAATATGATTGGTGATAAATGATCCCTATAGGTCCGAGAATATCGTAATGCAACAGATATCATATTAATTCCTCCAAATAAGAAAAACCCAACTTCAGAATTGCAGTAAAAGAACCAAACTATTAGCGGCGCGAGCAAGTAGAGCTGCATCTCCACAGATGTTTGTATAGTCATTGGTGAACACTGAAAGAAAAAAACAAATGAACAACATGAAACTTTCAGTGGATGAATTTTTTAAATAAATATATATAAGGGTTAATTTATAATACGCAAATGTTATAAGAAAAATTACATCCTAGTGATGAAATAAAATTATTCTTAATTTAAGTATGAAAAATGAAAATTGCAAAAAAAAATAAAATAACCAAGAAGAATTATTTAAATTTAATGTGGCGTGAACTTTTGCGACTATCTAGTTCCGAAGCTAAAATGCTAAATGCAGGCTTTAAACGGTCGCCGAAATAGAAGAATTTTACCCGTATATCGACCACAAAATGTTTTCTAAATCTTCTGATGACCTTGAATGGTCCTTCATAAGGATGTGTTAAGCTCGTATCTATAAGAAAATGTGTTAGCAATTATTTAAATATTTCGGGATAAAATTTTTTGTTCCGTTACCCTAGGCGCGGTTGGAATGAGATTTTGTATAGTTTCGCGAAGCTGCTTTATAACAGTGTCGCAGTCGTTAACATTAGGTTTTTCGTCGACAAAAATCTCGCCAAGAGCGCGTAGATTTTGTTTATATACCACTACTGCCGGTGAACATCCTAGATCCTCTTTGATTGCGGTCCGAAATCCTAGAAGCACGATTAGGAGTTCGAAGCTGCATGAATGCGGATTTTAACTGTAAGTGAAACTGCTCCGCCATTCCGTTCGACTGAGAATGATAAGGGGCAGCGTGGATCTCCTGGATACCGAATAAACTCGTAAAATCCGCAAATAATTTAGACTTAAATTGTGAATCTTGATGCGTGGTTATTCTAGATGGACTTCTAAATTTCGGGATGTGATTCTCGGCAAAAGCGCGTGCGACAATTGATGTGATCAAGTTCCCAATTGTCAATATGAAAGAGTTGTCAGAATCGGCAGGGTAATAACCTACCAAATCCATGTAGGCCCTTTACGAATCGACCCGAAAGTACGAATAGGTTCAGGTTTTTCGAATTTTGATTTCGTTTTCCATCGAATTTTTGATCTTTGGGAAGCTAAACAAGTTCCTGCCAATTTCGCGGTGTCGAAGTTCATTTTTGGCCAAAAATACTTATCTAACTAAAACTAGTTAAAGGCTTACGATAAGCTCTTGGGTGAGAAAAACCAAGTGTTCGAAAATATAACGACATAAAGGGCTTAGGATGTAAGAGCGATTTTGCGAGGGTCGTAATACACATCCAATTCAGGAACCGAAATTTTTTGAAGTTTGAAATTCGATGACGAGTGATTCACATGTTTCCATCATTGCGGCGATAGGTTTACCTATCGGGGACCTAAAGACTTCTAATCTTTTTCTTCTAGATTCTAATTTTTCAATTTCGGAGAACGAGTGTCTTTCTATGAGGCCAGTAAGGTAATGTAAATGTTGCGCGGTAAATAACGAAGCCACAAATTTCGAAAAATATTTTAACTAAATGAGCCACCAGCCAGCATCCGTATGGACCTGAAGACTTCTTATTCTACGATCAACGATATCTTGCTGATGATCTAAGAGAGATTCTATTCTTTTAATTTGGGAGAGCGAGTGTCTTTCTATAATGGCCTTCTTAAGAGTTTCATATAGCTGCGAACACGGTGAACTGTTAAAAATATCGGTCACAAAATTTAATATATCTTAACGTATGTATATTAAATTGCGGAGGCAAGGCAGTATTTGGTATCGCTATTGGTTATTCTAGTGTTTTCGATACATCGTCGAAAAACTATCACAATAGATCTGTAGTTTTATAACGCAACTTTTTGTATAGTATAATGCACCGGTGACCTGCATTTAATTTGTAAAGAAACATGGAATAGTGTTATATACATGATTGTACTATTATTTCCAAACATGTAATGAATCAAACAGCATATAAATAATATTATTTGAAAAATATCAACTGTAGTTAGACTTATCAACGGTAATTTGCATAATATTATTAACTTTAAATACATATTTATTAATTTTATCTTTAAACATTTAAATATTATTAAATAAACATTTTCTTTTGCTAATTTTTCATTCTTTATTTTACCGATATAAAATCGTTTGTTATTTTGAACTTTTTGAATTTGTCATATCTTTAAGCGAAGCAAATGTTTTGTTATTTGCCAATAAACTGGCAAGTTGAAAATTATTGCATATTAATAAAATTATTGTATATATTAATAGAATTATTGTATATATTAAACATTTTTATGCTCAGTTAAATTCGGTATTTAAACGAGATGTTGCGTGTTAAACTTCGACATAGCTAGTAACAAGTTTTTTAGCTTATTCGTTCCAAAGAATCTTCCAGCTTCACTTCACGTTTTAAAAAAAAAATTTTCAAGCTTCACTAGTATAATACTCGTAAATTAGTGTGCATAGGTACGAAAATAATATATGAAATTCATAATAAATAATATTGTATCGACTTTAAACCATCGATACTTTCGATAGTTGAAAACTATCGATGGTACTATCGATAGTTTTATTAACTAATTCTATGTTTATAGGTTATTTTATAAATCGAAAATTGCGCCTCAGTCTGATTGAATCAGGTTGCCGAGTTCGCGAACCAAAATGGGGGCAAACAAACGTGCACTACTTTGCACTTAATGCGCTACTTACTTTATTGCGCTCGCAGGACCGAAAAGAGTAATTTGTTTCTTCCTCCAAAGCACTAATGAAAAAAAAAATTTTAAATGAAAAAAGTTTTACGAAATCCTGATATTGAATAAATAAAATAAATATTTCCCCAGTAATTTCGGTGTAAATTTAAGATTTTTAAAAATGAAAAGAAAACTTGGTTTAATAATTCTTTTCAAGTTGAACTAGCGTTCAATAAAAAATGGTTCAGATAACAAAATATATTATATCATTATGAAAAATCGAGTCGCATACAGTTCGTCCGGGTGCGGCACAACCAAAATGGACAATTTGCATTGGAAAAATGCCTCTTACGGCACTAATGTGCACATTCCAAGAGTAACGACCTCCTTAAAAAATATGGCCATTTTCATGCAAAAAATAAAGCAAAACTGACCTTTTAACAAAATAAGTTTTTAATATCCTACTCCTCTAATTTTTTCCCCTTTCTTGTTATTAAATTAGAAAATCGAATAAAAAAATAAATAATCCAAATAGAACATAAGAAATATAAAGAAAAAAAAATGGCATACTGTGATAAAAACTTTTAGTTTTGAAAAGATATGTTCTTCTGTTGTATGTACTGCCTATGTCTATGTTATATGTACTCGTACGTCAAGCTTTAAAATATTTGCAATCGTTTGCATTTGAAACCATACTCAAGTATGAATTTAAAAAATTTTTTTCATTTTTTCTTTCCTCCTACCTTTCTTTCTTTTTCGTGCAATAGAATTCAAATTGGAAGCTTTTTAAAAAATGTATATAACATCTTGAGATTTTATAAATTATTAAACTCTTTTTTACGTAAAAATCAGAAAAAAATAATAAGAAATATGACACGATCAGTGGCATTTAAAGGAAAAAGCGGGAACGAAGGCAAAAATTCGGAATATTTCGTAAAAAAATTGAGTATTGGGGCCAGCGTTCCCACTTGTATAAAATTGTATCCATTTGGATAAATTTTTGCTTTAAATTTGAGCTTGGATACAAAGGTACTCAAATTTGCTAAAATACCGAAATTGGCTACATTTGAAAATTTTGCTGAAATGTGGATACATTTATTTCTCAACACTTAATAAATATTACAAAAAATGTTATTTTCGGGTTTTTTTAAGCAGGTATTCAAACTTTTTATAAGAAAGTAAGAATGAAACTTTATTAAATGGGTATTTCCTGTATTCAAATCTAAAACATATACATATACAAGAAGGTATCAGAAATAAAAAAAAAATACCTAAATTTTATAAAATGAAAAATAAATTTTGTTATTATCAAAATAAAAATAACAAAATTTTCACCTAACTTAATTTAATTTTATTTTAGTTCAATGTTTTTGATACACTCGTTTGTTTACAATATTTTGTTTCTTTCTAGCCTACACAACTCTTATTACCATCTATTTCTAAAAAAAATGGAATATTTTGAGAATTTGGAAGCAAGATGCAAACGAAAACTAACGAAATGGAACGAGTCGAATTACTTATTAGTAGATATACTTTGATTAATACTCTTATATTGAAATTAGATATTTTTAATAATTATATTTTATTATGGTTACTTTTGTTGTAGTTGTTGTAATTATAATTTTAATTTTAAAATTTTATTGTATGTATTAAATCTTGTTGTTTTATATTATCTAATCAATTTATTTGAAATGTACGTATTTAATTGAGATGTAGTTTTAATTTATTTTAAATGTAAATAAATGTTGCAAAATATTATAATTTTTTTACAATATACACTTTTAGTAAGTTTTTATACAATAAATTGATCACGTCAAAGTCACCAATATATGTAGCTTCTACTGTAGGCAAGAAGACCATTTTATCTTTTTATTTATTTATTTAAAACAAAATATGTATGTATTTTTATTAATGTTAATGTAGTTTATCATTGATATTATTTTAACTATAAATTTACATTATAATTTTAATTCTTGAAATGAAGGAAATCAGCAAAGAAATATAATTCGGGCATGAATAATAATAACGCATATGAAATAAAGTAATACTCAAAAAAGAGTTTTTTTATACCCTGCACTTTTTGAAGGGTATATTAACTTTGGTATGGAGTTTGTAACTACTTCAAGGAGTCGTCTCCGGTATGGACATATATATATATTCTTGCTCAGTTGGGTGTCCAGTTATAGGTTAGATATATTTCTGAAGTTTTAGTTGAATTGCTTGACAGGTTCGAGTAGCTCCCATACAAGTCTAAAAGCTAATTTTAAAAATTTGGAAAAATAATAACGTCAGATTCATGAAACTTGGCAGTTGTGTGTCCAGGTATAGGTCAGACATATCCGTGAAGTTTCTATAGAATGGTTTCACAGGTTCGAGTAATTGCTATACAACAACGAAAGGTGCAGGATATAATTCAAACGGTTTATACCGACTGAAACGTTTTTACTTGTTATAATTACATATGTATACTCAAAAAAGAGTCAAAAAAAGATTTGCGTTAATTACATGCATTTATATTATTTTATAATAGAAAAAATAATATTTATGTGTATGTAAATGAGTACACATGTAATTAAAATTCAATTCGTTTACAGCCGAATAAGATCTTAACATCCGACATAATGTAAATATAAAGTAAATAAAACAAAAAATATGGGCCGAGATTACATTTTTGTGCATATAATTAAAGAGAAATAACTACTCAATTTTCGTGAAATGTGCACATTCAGGGTGTTAACACCATAGACTTATAAATTTTTTGTGAATATCAGGGTTCGGTAACCGAACCAGGTCCGAAATTTAGTTTGATATTATATATATGGAACTAATTAATGGAATTTCTTGGAATTAAAAATTTGCTATCGAAACTAACTGAGGAAGTTTTCAGGGAATTTGGAGTAAAATGAGCCCCTGATAAGAGCTAAATTTATTTTTTTATGTTAACTAAAACCATACTAGCCTTCCTAAAATTTGTGGGAAGTATATTTAAAAGACATTTTCTTAATTTTATGCAATATTTTAGCTAAAATGAACAATGTTTGGCGGTCGGTTATGTGTTGACCATATCAGATTTTTTTTATTATATAAATCAATATAATGCTTGCAAGAATATTATAACATATTATGTTAGTTAATACACTAAGTTTATATAGAACATAATGTGCATTTGACAGTTGTATGTTTAGCTTAATTTCAATATGAATTTATTCTTACAGAGCATATAAACTTATTTAATTTTTAATTTTCCTTCCTTCATTAAATGAATCACTAATGTACATAAATTCATATTTTAACACGTTGAGTCTCAATATATTGCCGGTGAGCAAATGCCGAAAATGGTGAACACAAGAAAACCCCTATGCCTTGAATCATTACTGAACATACGAATAATTAAGTAACGCAAAAATAAAATTGATTTCTATGGAGAAAAAAAACTTAATACATGTATATATACATATATGTATATACAAAATTAGGTAGGTAATTTAAATATACATAATTAAGTCAAAGAGCATAAGGAAAGATTTAAGAAAATGTATGAAAGTTTTTCCAACAATTTATTAATAATAAAAATTGTGCCAGGGGTGGAAAACCTTATGGGAGAAAGATCTCAACAATTTTAGTATGCAAAGCGTCTGGTATATTACTTTAAAAAAAATTAGAGAAAATGATGACGTCAGCATTTTTTCAATGTTTAAAGTTTTTGCTAGATTTATAAAGTAAAATTTAATCTTTTAAAATTTTTAAAATCATATAGCTGCCAAAACAGATGCTTTTCCTAGTTGTGTTAGAAGGATTTATTTTTCAAAAACTTTTTTTCATCAATAATAAATTTTTTGTTAAAGAAAATTACAAAAATTGAATTTAAAATTTGTTCTTTGCTGGACATGTTTGTGTTTTCTACATGTTTGTATAACTAAAAAATATGTATTTGTTAACATAAGTACGTTTGATAAATATATTGATATTATCGAAAAAATTCAAAATTATCATTATTTTTCGTCTGGCTTATTTTTTTTCTCTTTAAAACAAATGACGTCCTATTTTTGGCTTTTTAATGTTGCTTCAAGTTTTATACCAAATAGACCAATAATAAGCAAGTATGTAATAATTAATTATATTTTTTCGAAATGGAAAACAGCTATAACTTACAATAATTTCAGATTTTGTAAAGCAAATCGTTTGTTTTTGACTATACTTCTTTAATAAGTTTCTTTTTATTCAAGGACATGTAAGAGTATTACATTTGTTTAAATACCTTATGCATAAATACATAAGTATGTGTGTAAAAATTGGGTTAGTTTAATTCCTTTTACATTATCATCAATAAAAATTATTTAATTTCTATTTTAACTTTACTTTCCATATCGCTTTGGGTGAATGCAATGAATATAAAAATATTATTTTTAAAACGTTAACCTTCATTCAAATACATACATACATATACGGGATGCTTCGCATAAGGTGTTAAGCAATTTTAGAGATGATTTTTGATCAACTTCCAGGAAAAAATTGTATTGGTTGGGGGTAGAGTGCAGAAACATTCATTTTCTTTTTTACTTAAGGGCTTGTTTTACAGATTGAAGAAGCTATAAGAATTTATTAATATGAAGAAAAAATCTTGTATTTCTTTTATACATTGTGAAATAATATTGTAAATTTCATACCGGGAGGAAAGGAGCCTGACTTTTAGTTGGTTTTCTATTTTCTCCAAAATCAAAGGGACAAAATGATCCCAAAAGCAATAATAACACTTACAAGAAATCTGGCAAATCTAAAGGATAAGAGATACTTCCAATTTTGCGATGTCATTTAGATGTTGTGCTTTTAGATGTCCGAGAACAAATTTTGGAAAATTAAATTTTATTTTCGGAAGGAAAGAAAGTCTAACACTTAAGAATTTGTTATATTTTTTGTTATTTATTTTTGAAGCTTTCATCAAATCTATATTTTTTCTCTTAATTTTTATTGTATTAAAGCATTTTAATTTTTATTGTATACTTACAGTTTCTTCAAAGTCAATAGCATTTTGAACACCGAATATATTTCGCCATAAGTTTTTTTCGCATAATTGACTTTGAATTCGTATAATATTATTCCAAAGTGGTCCAGATTCGAGATGTGGCAATATCCAGGTTTGGAAAAGTAAAATTGCATAAAGAGATGGTAGAAACCTGTTAAAAAAAATTTTCGAATTTAAATTTTCCTTATATAACATTTATGTACTCAATTCAAATTATAACATTCAAAAAAAATTTTTGATAATTAATAAAAGTTCTTTTAATTCGTCTTAAACATTAGTTTCCCATTTAACATTTAATATGGAAATACAGTGAAATTCACAGCTTATGTAACAAGGTATTAGAAATACTACTTGTATTCAATAAATGCCCTCAAAACGTAAACTTTACCAAATAGATACCAACTTCTTCAAACAAAATAGATGAGAGCTCTTGGCGTGCTACGTAGTTGATTCATAAAATAAAAGTAAATCGGTTAACAAAAAAATCTGATGTAAAATCTGATGTGTTTAGCGTATAACCGACCGCAATGTATATTGTTTAGATTGGTACAATTATTCAAGAAGATTATGAAAAAATTTTTTTTTTTTTTTCAATGGTTGATACTTTTTCCGAAATATAATTCTTTTTTTTTTTTTTATTGGTATGAAAAGAACACTTCCTTTTATTCGGAATAAAATACTTTTTTTATTTTTTGCTAATATATTTCGTGCGCTACATACGCACTTTATCAGAGTTGATTTTCTTCCTGATTATCTTTTATCAAAGCCTTCGAGATGTGGATATACCGTAAGATGTTAAAAATCCCATGGATAGATAGAGTTACAAATGAAGAGGTCTTAAGAAGAGTAAATAATGACCGAGAATTATTTTTTCTTTTTTTTTTTTTTTCCTTCTTCACTCCTAGGAGGAGTATAGGGCTAGTGCATGATATCTATCATGCCTAGTTTCTGTTACAGTCATAGAGAGTTAGCTAGGTAGGTGACTATAATACCATAGTTTTATTTTTTTTTTTTTATTTATATTAAATATTTCACTTTATTAATATTTACTGTTTATTTTTCTTAGTCTTTAGTATCGAATATTATGAATATTTGAAAATTACTTGTATAATATTTATTAGTAGTGCATATTAAGTTATAATATTGAATATAATTTTTATAGTGACCTGACCGGGTTTTGAACCCGAGACCCTTCGGTTAAAGGGCCGGTGCCATAACCACTGCACCAATGGTCAGAGAATTATTGCTAACAATAAAACACAGAAAAACAACATTTCTCGGTCATTTAATGCGTAACGACAAATATTTCATACTGCAGCTGATTTTGCAAGGCAAAATTGAGGGAAGAAGGCGTGTGGGAATAAAGCAGATGTCTTGGCTCACAAACATCAGACAATGGACTGGCATACGAACAGTAGAAGAGCTAGTACATGTTGCGCAAGACAGGGAGACATATAGAAATGTAGTCGCAAACATCCAGTAAGTGGATACGCAGAAGAAGAAGAATCTTAAGTTATCAAAACTATTCCAATAGTTTTTCCAACTTATTAAATTGAAAATTTCGTGGACAGATATCTTTTGTACATTCACATATTTCAGCAATTAAATTTATACGAGTATTACTAACAAAGACAAGCCGATAAAAATTTTAAATTATAGTGCAACGCACCACATCAAAGAATTCTTGATTATATTTTATTATAATTTGTAATTACCTTAAAATATTTAGCATCAATCTCTTCAGCGCATGTATATGAAGTTTTTCCTCCATTTCTGTGCACATATGGTATGCTTTAATAAAACCACTTATCATAAGTAATATATCAAAATATAATATAGGAGATCTATAAAAAATACTTAAAGGCGTATCAAAAGACATGATTAGTTTGTCACGATTTAATACTGGTAAATGTCCTAGCATCAAATACTTAAAACAAATGTATAACATAAAAGTAGAAAATATTTTTATTACATTAATTATTGGAAAAATTGTATCTTGCCCTTCAGTACTCAAAAGTGCTTCAATAGACCGTTTTGGTGCGAAAGAAAGAATGGCATCATTGAAGATAGATTTAGTTCTTTCAACAGGATCTGAAAATAAAACCAAATTAATTTGTATATGTATACACTAGGTTCTCGAGATACGACATTTTTGGTCCCAGAAATTTATTACGTAACTCGAATTGTCGTTTGAGAAGGAAAAAAAATGCATGGAAACAAAAGGTGAATTAGACAAACTATTTTATAATATAATTCACCTATTTTTTAAAAAAAGGTAACAAAGTTTAAAAAAACAACAAAATATAATAATAAAACAAAAAAAAATCAATGTTGTCACAAAAATAAATAATATAAAATCTCATTAAATTGATATTGTATCACTTCAATTCGTATTTTTTACTACTGACTAGAATTTTTAACTAGAAAGAGTTTATCATTAAAGTACGTGCTTTGGACTTGTTTCGTAACTAAATTCGGTATAGATTTTTATTCAAAAATCAGTAAAATCTGAAAAAAAAATTTAAATTTTTAATTTCATGTCAGGAACAATGTCGCAAGCCGAATAAAAATGGTCCACATTTATAATATAAATTATAAATTTTTATTATCATGTAACTCGAAATGTCGTGTCTCGAAGGCTTAGTAATGTAATATTTTTGATTGCTAGTTATGTATTAGATATAATATTTTATTACGCACTTTCATAAATTGTAACAGTGTCAATTAAAATCTATCATTGATAGTTGACGGAACAACATATTATTTTAGCTTAATGAAAATTTTATAACTCGTCATATATGTATAACAATGGGCAAAATATTCCAGAACAAGGCAAAAATTTTTAATTCAATTTCTTAAACCAATATTTTAACAAAACCATCGATTCTTATAAATTTATGTTTTCCAAAGCGGAATTATAACTTATAATTATGTGCGCTTTATTAAAACTCTTGAAAGCTTTATTAAAACTCTAACTAATGTCTTTATATATAACAAGTCCCAATACTCAACTTTTTTACGAAATTTTACGAATTGTTGCCTTGGTTCCTGTTTTTTTCTTTAAATGCCACTGATCATGTCATATTTTTTATTATTTTTTTCTTTTTTTACATAAAAAAGAGTTTAATATTTAAAAAATCTCAGGATTATACACATTTTTTAAAAAGCTTCCCATTTAAATTCTATTGCACGAAAGAGAGAGAAAGGTAGGAGGAAAGAAAAAATTAAATTATTGCAAAATTAAGAATTTTACAATAATTGTGAATGAAAATATTAATATATTTAATTGATTTTTTAAATATATTTTCGAAATTTTACCTGCTTAATAATAAGTGTGAATTTATTTTAATACTTCTTCTCAAAAAATGGCCACTTCGATTTTAAAAAAGCCATACAAAATAAGGTCGTGCTTTCAAGTTTCTCTCTTAACATTGGGACTTGTTAAATATAAAGACATTACTATTATATTTTATTCTAATTATTATGTTTGAAACACACTGAATGCTATAACAAGACATACTGAATGCTATAACAACAAGTACTATAGCTTTGATGTTCTTACAAAAACACTATCTCTTTTCAGCAACTTGAAATGAGCATGAAAGTCCTTGTTCTAAGCTTCCACATTTAATCATGCGTCTTTCTGACAATGAAATGGAGTTGCAAAAATTTAAAAAAAGAAAAGTGGTCGACAATGACCTTAAGTCCCTGTATTTTGGAATTCCGGTACCTGCTGTTATGTACATTATCTTCTTATGAGGGTCCATGCAATTATTTGTGAAGGTCCATTAAGAATTTGAGCACCACATATGCATATGTGTATCTATATAATATAGTATTAAATAACATTATAATGTATAGCTGAATAATAAAGCTATCAAGAGCAGACTACTGAAAACAAATTTTTGATTGAAAAATTTGTTCCAATTTTACCATTCGCAAAATTTGTTTCACTTCCAAAATTTTCTTCCTCAATTTCCAAATTTTCTGATACATTCTCAACTTGAATTTCTTCTTCCTTTTCGGTTTCATTTTTTTTTTCTGGCTTTTCGTATTCTTCTTTTAAAACTCCAACAACCTCAGTAGCATTAACATCATCTCTTGTTTGCATTTTACTGTTATTCATTTGCATTTCAATTTCAGCTTGAGCTTCTCTGTGACTTTTCTTTACAATCTCAACAAATTTTTTAAATTCTACTAGCATTTGTAACCATTTAGGTTTGAAGTTACTTTGAATCATTTTAAAAAGGTTTTTAAAGATGCATCGGTTTTCTATCAAAACCGATGCTATCGCAGCGAATATAAATATCAAAAAATATCCGCTGAAATGAGAATATCGTATAAGTCGAAAATTAAAAAAAAATGAAGAAACTTACAAAGTAAAATCAATGTTTTTATAATGTTTTAGTAAAGTTCCAAAGTTTGTGCTATTACGAATGTAGCAATCATTTTCACTAACTTCAACATGAAAATAAATACCAGTACGATTGTAAGGTTGGAGACTTCTATCAATCATATTCTGTACTACTTGCGCTTGGCATGCATGTGGAATACATATACCCCAATTGACAATTGAATATCTAGGTGCAAAGTGTATAGGCTACAATTACAAGTAAAATTGGAATAAAAATTTTAAAAGCTGAGAAGAAAATAAAATATGTAAATAATTTCATTGTTGTTTGTTCAATTATAATAGTTTATTCAATAATTCGTTTCGCTATTATACATATGTACATACATACTATTAAAAAAATAAATATTTTAAATAAGTTGAGGTGAGAGATAATTTTCGAATTTTATTTCAAAATAGCTTTCGATTTAAAACAACTGTTTCCGTTAGATATAAAGAAAAAAATGACACGAAATGTTTGAAAATTTTATATTTTACCATAATCAAATTTATATTGCTGTGACATCCAAGTCGTCTCAATACAAAGTTTTATTACAGTTTATGTACCTCACTAATACAATGTTGGTTGCTTCTATGTGGCATTTACTAAATATTTTGGATCAGATGACATGATATGATGTTTTTATGCAAATCCTACATATATATAACTTGTTCGAAAGTACAAAGAGAAATTTGAGGCAAGCCATAGATTCAGTTCCAGCTTTATAAGGCCAGTGTCCTTTTTATGGAATTCGAGCAAGCTAAATCCGGGAGGTACTAAGAAGCGAACACGAGGAGAAAAGCTAGAGCTATGGAGGACGTGTCTGGGACTTCGGCAAGTAAAAGCACTTTTGACCAATTACAACCGATGGAAATTCTCACGGGTTTTCTAATGGGACACTGAATGCTCAAGAAACACCTACGGAAACTGGGTTTAGGGGTTAACAGGTCTTGCAGGTTCTGTAGAGGAGGGAAGGATGCCCTGTTGTACTTCCTCATTGTGTAGTGTTGATTCATAAGAGATGTGCCAGGTTGGGTACACCTTCGCTGGTGGGTATGTCATTGCGCGATATTTCCTCAGAAGAATTGCTCGGATTCATCAGAAATATAAGTCTTATATAAGTTTAGGTATAACAACGACCACCAATAACAATACTGTCAACCAATATTTTATTATATATACATATATAGGTACTTCTTAGGTGTCAAAAAGTACGGGTACTTCTAGATGGGCTAGAGACATGGGACGAAGGCATTAGAAAGAGTTTTGCCTCTAAGGTTCCAGAAGAATCTGACATTGAAACTTTTTGAAATCGCTCTATTTTAAGATTTTCTGAAAAAAGTTTTGTATAACAAAAGCACGTTTTTCTTTTAAACTTTATATTATTAGAAACACAAACCAAGAAATAAATGATACTTTATATTATTAGAAACACAAACCGAGAACGAGAAATAAATAATATTCCAAAGTATAACGTAATTATCTTACATACTTGTGGTTCGAAAAATCGAAATGAACTTAAATAAATGACAGCTTTTATCAAAGACATCAGATAAAACATCTGATGGCAAGTGAATATTAATGCTTCATTTGTTATTGTTTTGAATATTATGTTTTGTCAGCAAGCTTTAAAAAAATATAGATACACAATTTATGTACGTATGTACTTAAATAATGTCTGTATATCTAACAAATCCCAATGCTCAGAGAGAAATTTGAAAGCACGACCTTATTTTATATGGGTTTTTTTAAATCGAAGTGGCTATTTTTGAGAAGAAATATTAAAATAAATTCACACTTATTATAAAGCAGGTAAAATTTCGAAATATATTTAAAAAATCAATTATATATATTAATTTTTTCATTCATAATTATTTTAAAATTCTTGAAATATTCGCATATACAAAAAAGCGGAAGAAAAACAAGCACAACCTTCGCCTTCAACGTTTTATATGTTACTTCATTAAAGCTTCATTATTTTTAAGTGAACAGCTTTTTTTTCTCATAGGGTAAGTTAACTCAAGGTATGGGAAGTAACTGTGGTGCCAAGTTGAAAATATAATTAATGAAACATGATTATTAAATAATGATATAAATACGTAGTAAAGAAAAAATTTGAAGAGGGAATTAGAAAATAATATTTAAAATACAATCAAATATTATTTTTTAAATACAAATTTTATATACACTTCTAAATTTTACCTCTATTTGCGAGAAAATTTTTTAAAACTTAATATAGTATCTAAGTAAAAAAATATTTAAAAGGTTTTGGAAAAGATAATAATATATTTTTATGACCGAATTCGAATATCTTTTTTTATTTTTGAAATAAATAGTATCTTACGAATAGCAAATGACTCAAAAACTCCGATTGTAAAATGACAGGTAGTAGGTACTGATGTAAATTTTTGTCCGTTTGCGTTTACTATTATTAAGATTCATAAACAGGCAGGGCCATTTTATAAAAAGATTGCTCTTGTTTACGTGTTAATGAAATATGAAACAAGTGCACAACAAAATTTTTGAAGCACTCAATATAACAGTTTGAAATAGCTTCAAAATAATTATTTAAAAAAAAATTGATTGGAAGTAGGTACATACATACATATTTATTTTTAATAACTTAAAAACTAACTGATATTATTTAATTCTTTAAGTTGAAATCCCCTTATCTTCGACGCATTTTTACAAATTAGCATATGTTACACTTTTAGTTAATATGTCTGCTGGCATATCATTCGTTTTCAAAAATTTCACAACCGCATCTTTTTTAAGTATAGCGTTTATAACAAAATGATTTCGAATATCTATATGTTTGTTGCGATTATTAGCTACTTCTCAGGTGTCAAAAAGTACGAGTACTTCTAGAAGGGCTAGAAACATGGGACAAAAGGCATTAGATAGGGTTTTGCCTCTAGGGTCCCAGAAAAAGCAAGAATTCCACCCGCCCTCCCCCTTCACCACCTCCCAAGATGCTTTAAGACTTTTTTTTACAAAATGGTACTAAATCCTGTAGGGGTAATTTTTTATTTACTTTTGGTGCTATAAATATTGTATGTAAATTCATATTTGGAAGTGAGAGTTATAACAAAATGTGATCACTTTCATAAGAAAATTGTAAAGTTTTAATAAAATCTACATTGTTGTATAATAGGTAAGTACGTACGCATTTAGTTATGTATTCTTTTCGTGATCTGCTGCAAAATGTATTAGTAAGCAAAACTTAAGTGTACATTAAATTTCTTGACAATATTTTTAGGGCAATATTTTATAAGAAAATGTTATTCTATTGCATTAAACTTTTTACAAATATGGTATTTTCAAAAAAATATTTAGAACGGAAACTCGCTGATATTGATTTGTTATGGTGAAGCTTTTTTAATTTTAATTTAAAAAAAAATAAAATTATCAATAAAAAAAGGTTCATCGGCAAATCGCATTTTTCAGGGTTCGAACTTGGGACTTTTTGCATAGAAATCGTATGCTATACGCATTACCCTATATACGTTAGTATTGGTGTTAACTCATTCTACAGTCACGCGTTTTATTCGCATGTATTATAAACTCCAAATACATACGTGCATGCATTTTAGTGGCGAATTATTTTATGCGTATACAGTAGTTTATCGCTTAAAGTGCTTGTTGTCAAAGGTATTTTACGATTTAATGCGACATAACTCAAAGTGAGGCTCTAAAATAAATTACTCAAAAGGTATGAGATCTGATAGGAACTAATTATTTGTTTAATTATGTATTTTTTGGCAACTATTTTTAGAACTTTTCTTATTTTAAGTTTTATCTTATTATTTATTGGGAAAAAACATATCTATATGTATATTGCAGGTGTGTTTTTGACAAAATAAAGTAAATTTAAAATATCTCAGCCACAGAATGGAACACAATTTCAAAACTACAGGCATAATACTTGCAAGGCTTGCAATGCAAGCACACACGACTAGTTAATTATGTTATATTATTAGTTGCCATTAACTGTGCGCTCTTATTGTCGTTAAATAAGATCTATTACTTTAACTAAGTATTAACTAATCTATTAAGTATTGGTACTTTAATATCGAACAAACAAAGTATCATTCAAGTCATTCATTTTTTAACTATAATGTTGAGTACCCATTTTTATTTTACTATAATATTGAGTTTGAGGTATCTAAAATATCTTAAAATTCTTTTAGCTGAAGCCCAATAAATTTTATCAAAATAATTATTAAATTGGCTCAGCATAACGATTGGATGCAATATGTCTTGTCTTGTAGTAATTGCGAGGTATAGAACTTACCCAATCAACTCCTGATATGGTACATCTTTGATATTGGCGTCTAGTGGTGTTCTTACCGGATTACAATCTGCCATGTTAAATCTTTTGAGGATTTTTTCAATATATTTCTGTTGTGTTAATGATACGCAATTCTTACTTTGGTGTATCAGCTTTTTCAGTAAATATCCATCAGCAACCAACTGGTTTTGTACTACTTTCAATCATTACTTGGCCTTTCAACAATGCTATACGTATTATTTTTGTTGTGAGCATTTAATTCTCTTTTTATGGCATTTTCCCATTGTATTTTTATATCTATTATGGTCTACATAGCAGATATAAAAAAATCCAAATCAAAGTTAAGACACCCTGCACTTCGTGAAGGGTATATTAACTTTGATTTGGAGTTTGTAACTAATTGAAGGAGTCATTCTTCCTCAGCGTAAAATTCTGCGTTGATTTAGACATGTCCGTCCGTCCGCCCGTTCGCCCGACCGATCGCACAATAACTCAAAAACGAATAATGCAATCGTCACCAAATTTTCACAAGTTGATTCTTTTGTGCCAAGGACGAACCGAGATGTAGTTTTTATAAATGCAATAGGCTTAGATCAAGATAATTTAAAAAGAACATACCCCATTTCAGAAAATAATGATAAGGAGACTTTAGATATTTGTAAAGATGAAGATCTCAGTTTTGAATCTGCCATTGAAAATTATGAGACTGAAATTGACGAAAGTGAAAGTTCTTTAGAAGAAGAATTTAGAAAATGTAAAAACCAAGAAAAAATTAATAGTGATGTTAAATACAAAAAGAATAGAGGACGCCCAAAATTAGTTAAAACTGGCAAAAGAGGTAGGCCACCGAAGGAGTATGCTGTAAATAAAAGATATGAATCCAGGTCTAAGTCCATTGGTACTGCAAAAGCACACATT